TTTATTGTCGTACACCAACGATGGCTGCATGGCATTTCTTAGAGTAGGTTTCCTGATAGTAACAACAGTAAACCATGCCTGCATAATGTGTGTTAAAACATCCACTTGTAGTCTTCAACAGCAGAAACCCATGTGACAGGTTGACAATGCAGGATTATAATTAGGGGACAGGGCCAAAGCGTTGCCATCCTATTACAGAAGGTGCCTAAATGTCCTTGATGGCAGGATCACCAGGCAATATCTCAAAGAAATCAGACGTGCAGTTAAGGTGAGCGTAGGGCGGCGTTCGGCCGCGCAATCCCATAGAGAAGAACAGGCTGCTGGGTGTAATCACATGCAGCACCTGTTCTTCCCGGGAGTGGCCCGATACGCAGCACGGATCTGTACGGGTCGGCTGTTACTCATGTGAATGAGGGCTAAAGGACTCAGCAGTGACATGGGGTCAGATGCACAATGCACAGTAGGGTACATAGTAGGGATGTCCCGATGCAACTTTTTCAGGCCCAAGTACAAGTACATCCCCAGGCATCTGACATATCTGGAAGTATTTTGGAGGCATCCAAAATACAAATTTGGGGAGGGGGGCATCTAAATGTCCAATTATGAGAAAACCGGGGATTGGGAGGACAATGAGGTAAAGTGGGTGGGTAGGGTGAAGGTTAATTATAACAGTTTTGAACACAGTTCTCATATTCTACTTTCAGTTATGAGTTTCATAACTAAAAATAAATGCATGTACAACTTATTCCTTAAATTCTAATTTATTTTTACTTTAGGACTTAAAATGAGCCATTGTTGTATCTGTACTGCAAAGCAAGGACAATCCATACACAAATTTGCTAACTAAAGATACTGTTGCAAAAAAAAGCCTAAGTACAACTTATATCAATAAAGTTGTTGACATTCAAACAAGCTTGCCGTGTGCGCCTCTCCTACCCCTCCTATCGCGCACCGGAGGGCGGAAGTGACGTCGGCTTTCCCGCTTTGCTCCGCTTCCATCTCGGTCGCGAGCTTGCGACCACTCGAGTCTGGCTCCCACGGCTACCCGAGGCGGAAGATGGCGGATGGAGTGGATCACATAGACATTTACGCGGATGTGGGCGAAGAGTTTAACCAGGTATCCGGTGTGCAGCGAGCAGGGCCTGGCGCTGGTTCCCGCCTCCATAGACATAGTGGGCAGGGCACGGGGGGAATGTGCCGGGAAGAGATGGCTGTTTTTGGTTGGTTGCGGAGGGTTAGCTGTCGTTGAATTCGTGATTTGAAAGATGAAGAACGCCTGAGCACTGTGGAAGGCAGAGCGGTGTAAGCCGGTGCTCGGCGCTGCCTTTGTGTAGGCCGCGTGTGGAGAAGGCCCCACAGCCTGGACTCTGGCCCCGCCTCCTCCGCTGTACACCCGGCCCCACATAAACAATAACAGCGGCGTCTACCATACGGGACTCATGCAGTTGCTGCTACTGCGAGCCCCGCTTTGGCTTCATACATTAAGAACCTGCGCGGGCACCTGGTTTCCTTGTACGATAATTATAAAAATGGTATTAAAACAGTCTTATTTACAGTGCAATTCAAAGTTTTAGAAATACATTCTACATAATGTGCCAGCTAAGAGGCTCTGTATGTGGTTAAGTTGACTAGGTATCCCTTAAAGGGTACTTAAGCCCTCGCATGTTGTTGCATATATCTACTGCTAACAAGCAGTAGATATATGCAAAACGATTAGAAATGTTTTTTTATTTTATATCTTCCAAATGGTTAATACTTACCTGTGTCTCTGGCCGGGAGACGAGGAGAGACACAAGGTAAGTATATGGAGCAGCGTGCACCCGCATAGACTCTGTGGGACATAAGAGAAGGACGACAGAGGAGTCAGCGCTGGATCTGAGACCCACAGCAGCGCTGGAGGGACAGCAAAAAATTACAGGAAAGAAAATGATCGGATTAAGAGACATCATTTAATGTAAGTCCCTACTGCAGGATTGGGAAGGAGGGGAAAAAAAGTTTGACTTTAATGTCACTTTAAGAATTCGAATTGATGCATGAATAGTTTCTGTAACACACATTTTTAAGGCGATTGAAAGCAACAACTATTTTTCCATTTTTATATAGTGTAGGGAATGGTTGAAATGCCCATCAGTGTTTTTTTTTATTTGCCATTTGCAGACCATTAACCCCTTCATGACTGAGGCCCTTTTTTTCAATTTTTGCAACCTCAACTTCCAGTCCTGTAGCCCCCACAAGAAGTGAGGAAATATATCCAAGGTAAATAGGGCGGCAACTGATGCTTATTTTCATAATCGGTTAGTTGGCTGAATATTTTTCGATTAACCGGATAAAAAAGTTAAATACTATCCCTAATTTAAAATAAAATACAAATGCAGTGTAACAAACATAATGTTTACTTCAGAATAAAACTGCATGCACTTTTTTTGCAATTGCACTGGAATGCACAGCATTGCGCTACCGTGCGTTCCTGTGTGGGGGGATCACACTGTGTTTGGGAGGCGCGTTTGGGGTGCCATTGAAATGAATGGCACTGCAACGCACCTCCCGCAGCAGACTTTGTCAGGCTGTAACCAAAAATTACTTTTTTTTTTTTTAAATTTTTTTTTATTGTAAGCACATGGCGCTTGAATATCTTCAGTCAGGGAATGACAGCTGCCAGTGGCAAGATTCTATAGGCGGCAGCTGAATGTAAATACAGCAGGTAGTGGGCTGGTGCAATAGCAATAGTGTATTTTTTAGCCAAAACTTTTTAATTTTAAAGAATATGGGTATCAAACCACTTTAACTTTTTTTTTTTTGCTGTATGTATCCTGCTGGGGATATTTTCTCTCATTCTATCCTGGTGGCAGCTTTACTATAGCGGAAAGTGAGGGGGAAGTAAGTCTCCAGTGGGAGCACAGGCAGCTTTAAAAGTGATCTAACAAGCTCTAGCCATCCCCCACCCTGCTGGGCTTGTTTTTTTTTAATTTTTATTTTCATTGAGCCCCAGTTAGAGATGTTATCACTAATGCTGGAAGTGTGGGAAAATAAAAAGGGTATGATCCATTCTATACACTATCCAATTGCTATGCATACTGTAAAGTTTTTTTTGTTTACATAACATTCTACATTGTCATAGCAGTGCTGGACAAATAGTTTTAGGCTGGGTTCACACCTGAGCGTATTTTTTCAGCTTGTTTTTTTTTCGCGTTTTTTAGCACGTTTTTCCATTCAGTGAAATGCGCGTTTCACTGGCGGTAAGATTTTTTTTCCACTTTCAAACTTCCCGCCGGCTCCGCCCCCTGCGACGCAGCTGCTCACAAGGGACAGAACCCGGAAGTCGGCAGCCGCCGGAGGACACAGCGGGGACCGCGGACAAGGCGCGTTCCTACACGCTGTAAAACGCTTAACATGTGAAAACCAATGATTGCCTATGGGCATGGTTCCCATCTGGGCACTTTACAGCGCGAAGGAACGCGCTGCAAAACGCCCTACGCCCATCACTAGTAATCATATGTGAAAGGATTACATGCAGTTAGGAATCTGTCACAATCCCTGGATACACAACTGTGTATCCAGGGATCATGATTGTTTTTGTAACTGCATGTAATCATATCACATACGATTACATGCGGTGTATATGCAGCGACTGTCACCTGATCATTAACTTGAATGGGTGACAGTTGCTGCATGTAAACGCCAGATTAGGGATTCCTGAACTGCAAGGGTTACATTCTATTCTACCGGGAGTTCTTCTTTAATACTGGATGGCTTTTAGAGTGTTCAAAGTAAAGTTGGTTCCATATTTGAATACTTGTTCTGATCACTTGAAATCTTGTTGCTTGTTTCACAGGAAGCAGAATATGGTGCACATGATCAGATTGAACTTTATGAGGATGTTATCTCTCCCTCTGCAAATAATGGAGATGCACCTGAAGACAGGGACTACATGGATAATCTTGCAGCGTCTGTTTCAGATGATGTGGTGAAAGGATCATCTTCAAATTCAGCATTTTCTTATACTGGAAAAAGAATAGCACTGTACATAGGAAATTTGACATGGGTATGTAAAAATGTATACTAGGATGCCAAACTGTATACTCGAATATGTTTTATGCCATTAAAGAAAGTAGTGTTTTTTTAAATTCTATTGTCTAGAAAGCATAGCCATTGTATTAGTGTACAGATCTGTTTGTATTCAAATTAAAGCTGAAATCTGGCCAAAAAAAAAGTTTATTCTGTGGAGCACATTTATATGGAAATCTGCCCACAAACTGGTGCAGACTCTTTCTAAAAGATTACAAAGAGCCAGGGTGAACCTATTTTTACAAGTTTTACACCTTTAGGGGAAACTGCCAAAATATTTAAACACTGCTCTGGCCTTGAACAGTGCAGATCAACTGTAAACAAGGCTTTATATTGCACCCATAATCCAGACACTGGGAATTGATGGAAGCATATTAGCATACTGATCTATTGTCAAGCCCTCATTTGTTAGAACCAGATTCCATTAAACTAGCTCATTTTAATCATCTTATCTGATAACCACCCTTACTTCCAGGAATTAAAATATATTGCAGAAAGTGGCAACTCTTTAACATCCCTGTCTTCTCTTTATATAATAGTAAGAGTTGTCCAAAGCATACAAATATATAAAGACTATGCCATCCACCCAGACTCTGGCTCGAAAACAAATATACTAAATTTGGATGATCTGCCATTCCCAGCTCTTTTCTAAACTGCTATAGAAGCAAAGGCAGTTATCATTCAATTAAAGTCTTTATAATGCTTAAGTAACAACCCGAGTAAATAAACATACCCAGGCTGTAACTGGGGCCCTTTCACTGGAAACTCAAGATTAAACCTCAACTCTTTTTTTGCACAATAATAATAAATTACCAATGATGCAGTGGGGCCCATCCCTGGCCCATGCATAGTTTGTTACATCTTAGACAGCGCCAAACGTCCAGTCCTGTGCCGCTTGCGGTCTGTTCTGCAAGCATAACTTGAAATTTCAGAGCCGGACATTTAGTGCTGACAGGACAATGCATGCTGACTGAATCTAAGCCATAACAAATGCTGAGGCAGCCAGAGATGGGGCAAACATTGATATTAGAAATGTATTATTACTGTGCAAAAATGAAAAAAAATATACTTTTAACAAGACTATACAGTGGGTGTTAGTGAGTAGACAGTTTTCTTATATCCCTCCTTTAGACCGATGCCTGTATCACCTCTTTGCAACTGCACAGCTTGGTGGGAACAATTGCTTTAACAAAAACTGAAGCCAGTAAACACTGAAGAATTGACATTCAACACAACAAAGGTGGTCCAGCTGCACTGGCTGGCAGTTTCTGAATTGCTTCAGTTTAAAATAAATAAACGCAAGTTCAGCAATCTCTGCTCTACCACACTAAGATCATGGCTCAGTGACTGATTATCTTTTATATATATTTGTTTATAAAACAAGTTTTAACTTTACCCTTTAATATCAGCATTGAGTGACAAACATAAGTAATATTGTGTTTTTAATTAACATTGTTTTATTCAATTGTCTGTTTAGTGGACAACAGATGAAGACTTGACAGATGCTGTTCACTCTCTGGGTGTCAATGATATTTTGGAAATTAAATTCTATGAGAATCGTGCTAATGGCCAGTCAAAAGGGTAAGTTGAAATGCCTGCTGGTAAAATTAACCCAGTCTTTCAATAAGTCTATCAGACATAGTATGTATGTATTTATTATCAAACATAGCTTTGAAACCAGCAAAACATGTTCTGTAGTGTGCTAAACACATTTCTCCTGCATATTACCTTGAACAGTCACATTTTGCCTGTTCTTGTATATTAAGCAGCTTTGTCATCTTCATTGCACCAGCCAGGCTCCTACCCTCTCTGTACATTTTATTTCAGCCCTCTCTCAAAACCACATGGTGTTCGCTTGACTTGTTAATTAAAAAGCATCAGCCTGTCTCTCACAGCAGCTGGCTCCACACTGCTTAAGATCTTCTTTCATAATTAGTATTGCACAGGGGATTGTTTATAAAACAAAAATAAAAAAAAATTGGAAAGCATTGTGTAGATGTTTATAGTGACAAGTGATCTCCTTAGTCACTATGGGCAATGACTCCACTTTGTACCAGTTTTTCACTCACCTCATAGTTCTAGCCGACCTGTGACAATGAGACTGTCACATGTCGGCTCAGTAGATCAGGAGGTGAGCGAACACATACCGGCGTTCGCTCACCTCTCGATCCTGTCACGGCTCTTTGCCGTGACAGGGGAGGGGCTGGATTCCCCCCTCCCCGCTCCGATCCGCCAGCGCTGACTGGCGGAACGGACGGGGGAGGGGGCGGGTACAGCTGGCTCTGCCTCTAGATAGGCAGAGCCAGCTGTCAATCACGCAGCTGGGCGGATCTAGACATAATTGTCGGGATCCGCTTCAGCTGCGGCGTCTCAGTATACCGCAAGCAGTAGCTCACGGTATACTGTGGCGTCTCAGCTGTATACTGTACTGTGCTCAGCTGTATACTGTGTAGTGCTCAGCGGTAGCTCGCGGTATACTGAGCCTAGGGTGACGGGAGGACGCTAGTTTGTGTCCTCCCGTTACCCCAAGGAGAACTATGGGGAAAAGCCTTAACCCCATAGTTCTCCTTTTAAGTGTCCAGTAAATGTAGTTTAGGCATATACTGATTTTTTTTTTTTTTAAATGACAGAATTGTAGGTATTGCTCATCTCCTTGCCCCTGTCTCTCTGTGTCCTTCCAAGGATCAGCTGCTTTGATGATCCTATGGCCCTTGTGCCAGAGCTCCAATTAAATGTCTGGTACCTACCTGGCACGAAAAGTCCCTAAGGTAACCATAGTGCTAAAATGTATCTTGTTTTACATGTAAGCCCCATCTTTCCCAAAACAGAACTTTGCCTTTCATCATTCAGCTGCTAAAGACCGTAAGCTCTAGTGCCCACTGAGACTTTGGCATTCAACGGTTAAATGATAGGGGTGAAGCTTAAAGTGTATGTAAACCCCAACAATGAGCTTCTCTTATTTGCTACCTTTTTGTTCTTTTAAATATACCACAGATAGCAGTTTGTTATATTAACTCAATAAATGAAAAAAATATTTGTCAAAACTGCAATAAATCTTGTGACCTGATGACTTGCTGCACTCTGACTGTCATTCCGTTAGAGCTGTTCCCAATTCCTGATGTTATGAAGATGGAGTGGGAGGTGTCCTGTAGTCCTAAAACACTTTGTCTTTGTGTTACAGTGTTGATCCTCCAAAGATACAGTAAAGCGAGTTAGTGTTGTCAACCCAGGACGGGAACTCTGTTAATGATATGATCAGGTAGAAATGTAAAAATGAAAAAAAAAGACTAATTCAGCCACCACATCTCCATGTCATGCTCTGTAGGTACATCAGCTCTATAGCTCGAGATCTGAGCAATTGTATCCTGCTGATTGCTCAGCTCATGGCCTCTCCCTGCAGAGATTCCCCTCTCTCTTCCTCCAGCACTCACTGGAGGGACAGACAGGAGAGGGGTGTGCGTAGCTGCCTCTAGAGAAGCAGAGCCAGCTGTCAAATCAGGTAGCAGTGTGGATCCGGACAATATTGACGGATACGTCCTAGCTGCAGCCCAGCTCTGTGCCGTCGGCATATAGCAGGCAATAAATGTCTTACTGTGACCCATAAGATATGGCCAAAAAAGGTTTGGCTGTAGTTTTCTTTTTAATACCTGTTTTGTTAAACTGCATAACTTACAGATAATTTCAATTCTGATGCCTAAGGATACACCTATACATTAGTGCTGAAAGCTTGCATTTATTTCACTTTCCATAATTGATACTTAATAGGGATACACAATACAGAGTATTCGAGCACTCGCCCAAATGCTCAGATACCTTCCCAGATACCGGACTCTCCGGTCAGAGTTAGATTTCCTCTTAACGGCAGTGCTGGGAGGGAACATGGAGCCAGCTTGCCAGCCAATCAGCACTGAAGCAGCCAAACTGCATGGCGCCGACTTCCCAGCCCCCCACTTGCCGGCTATCTGACTGGCCAGTTAACATTGAGCTGGACAAACAGCATGGAGCTGGCTTCCCAGACAATCAAAAAGCCGGACGGTGGGTAATGGCACGCGAGTACCGAAATATAAATATCGTTACTCGATACCGAAAAAAATGGTATCTGTGCATCAATACTTAATATGAAATAGGCACAATTATGCAATCTCAGACCCTGTTTTAGTATGTTTATTCTTACCGCATGCAACTGCAACGGTTTATGAAATCCTCTTTAAAATGAATTTGAAAAGTTTTTAGTTAAAACTCTTTGACCATATTGATTGACCATTGCCTCCTTCTTGCTGAACATATGTAGTCTAAATGTGCATGAGTTTCTCATATTTTTTTGTTTTTTTATTTGCAAAGGTTTGCATTAATATGTGTTGGATCAGAATCTTCCTCGAAGAAACTCATGGATTTGTTGCCTAAAAGAGAGCTACATGGGCAGAATCCTGCTGTAACGCCTTGCAACAAGCAGTTCCTTTCTCAATTTGAATCTCAGTCACGAAAAAGTAAGTATCACAGAATTATCTATAAATTAATATTGCTGTAAACATTGTTTTCTATAGATCAGCGGTTCTCAACCTGTAGGTTGCGACCCAAAGTGGGTCGCAACTCACTGTTGAGGGGGGTCGCAGAATCCCCTTCTGCTGTGCTAGGTGAGAGGCTCCGCAGCCTCCTCCTAGCGTGTCAGTGTCAGTTCTCCTAGGTGGCGCTTCAGCAGCAGCGGCCGGAAAGGATCAGAGAGAGGGGAGCAGGCAGGAGTGAGGTAAGGTGAATGCTTGATCACCATAGAGCCCACAACTAGGCACTACAGAACCCGCACATATGATGTCGATGGTGGGGGGGGGGGACAGCAAGAGCTGTGAATATAAAAGTGCCGCTATACACACTCCCTGGCCGCTGCAGCGACATCTAGTGGCCGGGGAGTGTGTACAGCAGGGCTTTTCTATTCACAGCCGCTGCTGTCCTCCTGCCTCCCATACAATGTGAGCTCTGCAGGAGGCGGGCGTCTAAGCAGTGCTTGGGCTGAGAAGGCTGCTTGGAGACAGAGCAGGTAGCAGGGGCTGGGGAGGGCTTGTATTCTTGTGAGTGTGCTTCTATTTTTAGTCACAAGTCCAGCGCCTTACTAATTCTGGAGTCCAGCGCTCCGGTGGGGGTCACCACAACTTGGCAAATGTTACCAAGGGGTCCCGGCCCTAGAAAGGTTGAGAACCACTGCTATAAATCTTCTCTGACTTCACATACCTGATTGTTGCCTTTCACCAGATGAAACAAAAATAAAATCACAAAGTATAAACACACTTAAATTTTCGCAGTGCTTTCCAATGGGACAACACTGAAGAAGTTGACATCAGTGTGGAGCCCTTCATGGTCTGCAAGTTGTGGTTGGTGCTTTTAGGACCCTTCCAAAAGGGGTTGAAGCAAGCTGGACATTTGTATGGGGTTCTAGGGTATAGTGTGTATGGCAAATCAGCAGGATTCTTAATGCCAAATTGGTTCACGCCGGAACCTTCATTCTGGACAAGACATTCATTTCGAATCTGTCTGTTGGCTTCCTGTGAACCTCGGCACAATAGTGCCTGGAGCTCAGCTGTATACAGTGTGAAAATAGCTCATGTACAATCTATCTGTAAAAAATAAGTCAAGGCAACTGTGCTTGCTGTATTTTTCTTGAAGGTGTTTCACTGGCCATCCAACCAGCTTTCTCAATTCAGAAAATGTATCAAGAAAGCTGGTTGGATGCCCAGTGAAACGTCTTCAAGAAAAATACAGCAAGTCCAGTTGCCTTGACTTATTTTTTACAGATATACCATGACCTGGATGAATGAGAACCTTCACAGACATCATGTACAACCTGCTTGCCTGCATCACCATCATATGTATAATAGACAGTTTTTTGCCTTCTGATCTTTTAAATATTAAAGGAGAACTATGGGGTCAGGGCTTTTCCCCATAGTTCTCAGGGTAACGGGAGGACACAAACTAGCGTCCTCCCGTCACCCTAAGCTCAGTATACCCCGAGCTACTGCTCGCGGTATACTGAGACGCCGCAGCTGCGTGACTGACAGCTTGCTCTGCCTATCTAGAGGCAGAGCCAGCTGTACCCTCCCCCGTCCGTTCTGCCAGTCAGCGCTGGCGGAGGGGGGAATCCAGCCCCTCCCCTGTCACGGCAGAGAGCAGTGACGGGATCGAGAGGTGAGTGAACGCCGGTATGTGTTCGCTCACCTCCATGAGGTGAGTGCTTTTCACTCACCTCATAGTTCTAACCGACCTGTGACAATGAGACTGTCGCAGGTCGGCTCAGTAGATCGCCCCTCCCCGCTCCGATCCTCCAGCGCTGACTGGGGGAACAGACAGGGGGAGGGGGGCGGGTACAGCTGGCTCTGCCTCTAGATGGGCAGAGCCAGCTGTCAGTCATGCAGCTGGGCGAATCCCGGCACAATTGCTTAAGATCTTCTTTCATAATTAGTATTGCACAGGGGATTGTTTATAAAAAAATTAAGAAAAAAAATTGGAAAGCATTGTGTAGATGTTTATAGTGACAAGTGATCTCCTTAGTCACTATGGGCAATGACTCCACTTTGTACCAGTTTTTCACTCACCTCATAGTTCTAGCTGACCTGTGACAATGAGACTGTCACATGTCGGCTCAGTAGATCGGGAAATGAGCGAACACATACCGGCGATCCTGTCACGGCTCTTTGCCGTTATAGGGGAGGGGCTGGATTCCCCCAGCTCCGATCCGCCAGCGCTGACTGGCGGAACGGACGGGGGAGGGGGCGGGTACAGCTGGCTCTGCTTCTAGATAGGCAGAGCCAGCTGTCAATCACGCAGCTGGGCAGATCTAGACATAATTGTCGGGATCCGCTTCAGCTGCGGCGTCTCAGTATACCGCAAGCAGTAGCTCGCGGTATACTGTGGCGTCTCAGCTGTATACTGTACTGTGCTCAGCTGTAGACTGTGTAGTGCTCGGCGGTAGCTCGCGGTATACTGAGCCTAGGGTGACGGGAGGACGCTAGTTTGTGTCCTCCCGTTACCCTAAGGAGAACTATGGGGAAAAGCTTTAACCCCATAGTTCTCCTTTAAACAAGGCTCAACCATGAAGAGAGCTATAGTGGGTAGGTTCTGCTTATACTTGAAATGTTTTTAGATATAGATACTTTTTGTTTTATTTTAATTGTTGCAGCTACACAGGCTGGCCAAATGTCTGGAGAAGGAAAAGCCGGGCCGCCTGGTATCAATGCTCGGTTACCATTTCCGCCGGGTGGCAGAGGCAGGGGCCGGTTCCCGACCTCAGGTCCTGGTGGTGACAGATTTCCTGGACCTTCTGGACCCGGAGGGCCTCCTCCACCTTTTGCGGGTAAGAATAGTGTAATGCAGAACTTT